CCCACAGCACTATCTCCTCAGCCCTTTTTTATCTTGATGTTGACACAGGATCTCACTGAGGTGCTGAGCTGCTCAGGTTGGGCTGGAACTCGCCACCCTCCTGCCTCAGCCTCCGGAGTGCTGGCATGACAGGTGTGCACCACCACGCACAGCTACCGTGCTATTCCTATGCCACCTGCACATCCCCACTTGCTCCCCACCCTCCACTCGGATATTCTTGTGTTTTTTATTGTTCAAATGCGCATTCAGTAAGTACACACATCTTGGCTGGTGGATTTTGACCAATGGGTCCTCCACGTCGCCATGCTCCTGGTCACAGGGTGCGTGCCCGTCTCCCTGGAAACTCAGTCCCTCCCGCTGTGGCTTTTTGTTTTGCACCTTAAATTAGTTTCGGCCTTTCCTTGAGATAGCCTGTCTGCCTTCGCCGTAATGATTTTGAGATTTATCCACATGCTGTGAAGATGGACAGCTCCTCCCTTTCTATAAACGAAGGCCTCCAGTCCCCTCCTCTGTTTGCTCTTTAGCTGTGCCTTTTTTACTTTCTCCTCGGGAGGTCGGTTTCGGGCATGCTGTTGGGTCTTGGGTTTGTGTCCCACTTTCTTGTGAATAACATACCTCAGAGTTGCTTCCTGTTTGTGTATGGACCGATGTTTTCCTGTTGCTTGGATAAATACCTAGAGAAGAAGGGGGTTTTTAGAGAACTGTCAACCTCTTTTCCATCACAGTTGTATCGTTCGGCATCCCAGCAAAGAGTGTGCAAGGTCGCCGAGGGTGTTGCTGGACTTCGTCTATTTAGTCAGAGACGCAAATGCTTAGCCGTTTTCCGGGCTGGAATCAGCATTTCCCCAACGACCTTCAAGGCTCAATGCTGTTTTGCATACTTTTGGGGCACTTGTGTATCTTTCTTTGCTAAGTGCTTGTTCAAGTCTTTTGCACATTTTTTACTATTAGGTTATTCGCCTTCTTGCTAGTTTTGTTTTGTGTTTTTGGTACCAGGGATTGAACTCGGGACCTTGCATTTGTGAGACAGGTGGCGGAACCACTGAGCTAAATCCCCGGCCCTGTCTTCTTACTATTGAATGTAGGATTTATATATATATATATATA